CTAATAAACACCAAAGACAATCAAGTTTATCTCATCATCATCATCATCATCAACAACAACAACAATCACAAAATCAATTGCAACAACAACAACAAATTAATTTCACTGGATACAATACTTTACCAAGAAATAATAACAACAATCATCATCATAATAATAATATGGTAAATTTATTCATCATTATATAAAAACAGTTTCTTCACTTTTTCAGGTCAATTTAAATGTTAGGCAACTTTCACTATAATAGATTAAATTTATCTTTGTTGATCAAGGCTAACAGATCAAAATCCACTTTCGATTCATTCGCCATTTTGTCCCAACCATAGAGAAGATGATGAAAAATATTTTCCTTATTTCTTCATGTCCTCTTTTTCTTTTCATTCTCTACGCTATTTGTCCCCTTCCCCTTGTTCTCTCTCTCAAGTGTACGTCTTCTTTTCTGCTCACTCTATCATCATCTGCATCATTATCATCAATATTATTATATATCCTTCTTTTTTTCTTCTAACGAAATCTTAAAAACAGCATATGGCTAACCCACTGCTTGAACTCTACTTCTCCCTCTTGCTCTCTTATTTTCTACCTTGGCCTTCGGTCTGTAGTTATCATCTTATCAGTTTTCCTTAACTTTTCATCTTTTCTATTTCTTTCTCTCCCTCCCTCTTTACTCGCCTTTTCCCTTCTCTCTTTCTCTCTGTTATGATCATGTTTCTTTTCAAGTTTCTTAGGTTGTTTGTTGAAGAAAGAAATATATAAGTGAGTGAGTGTCTGACCGAAACCTGGGTAAGACGTAAGAAAAGGGAAAAGAAGCTAAGCAAAGTGAGAGAGAAAAAGAGGGAGAGGGAGAGGCCGTTTGAGTGAAAAAATAAGATTGCTTATTTTATGCTTACAAGAAACACATTATTAAGAAAAGAGGACTTACTAGATGAACGCAACAAGGAATTATGGTTACAAGAGTAACAGAGAGAGAGAGAGAGAGAGAGAGAGAGAGTCCAGTAAACGTTAATAATCTCGTAAAGGTTATTTGAATTCCTGCATTTTGATTGAGGGAGAAGAAAGAAAAAACTTACACAGGTAACCAGACATTTTGACAGACATAGAAAAGCAGAAAAAGGGCCAGGTATTTTTCAATAGAAAAAGATAATTCAATTTATTGTTGACGATATTTTCAGAAAGTGTTATTCAAATTAAGACGATGAGAAGATAAAATGAATGAAGATTATCATTGTTGTATCGATTAGCACAAAGAAATCGTTTCTTTTATTATATTAGAGTTTCAGTTTGTTGGAAGTTATTTTTCTTATAATAATCATACAATCGCAATTGATCAATCAAAAAAAATTGAGATGATGAAAAGAAAGAGACTAATTAAGGTGGGTGGTATTAAATAGTTTCCATTTCCTGTTGAGTTTTTGTTATCCGGTATTTCAGAGGTCCTGAAATTTTTTCTCATTTAAGAGACTGATCTGAGAAAATCAGCCCATCGAAATAACTTCGCATTAAAAAGGGTGTAACTCTTAAAAAGGAAATTGAACTTTATCATGATTAAATTAGCTCCAAGATCTAAACAATCAATTTAATTTTCTTTGCTCAAGATATTCCAACTTTGATATTTCCATCTGCTTTATTGATAATTAATTCAATTCAATCTAAGATTAGAGTTTATTGAGCTTCCAAGTTTTCAATTTGATCATTTCAATTAATCTTATTTCTTATTGTTTCTTTTTATCTTTTCAGCAAAACTTTTCTAATAACCTGGAGCCTTATTATATGACACCGAGTCCAGATTCACCTGAAACTTGGTCAACTCAAGCTTCATCTCCTCAAGGAATCAACGATTGGCATGATGCTACAATTTATTCCACTTTACCTTCAACAACAGCAGCAACAATATCAACAACCAATGGTCAACATCAAATTATTGCTCAACAACCACAACCACAACAACAACATCATCATCATCAAATTCACCACACACTGCCACCATTGTCACAACAACAACAACAACAACAACAGCAACAACTTCATCAACATCAATTGATATCAGAATTAACTAATTCTCAGCAAATCATGACAACGATAACTGAACCCATGCTAACGGAGATGATATCAATTAACCACCGAGAACCAAATATCAATCAAACTGCTGCTGTTTTCATTTAAATTAATTAATATGGTTAAATTTTTGTATCAAATTTGTAAAAAAAAATTAATCGTAACTGTTTCCTTCCAAATGAAATTATTATCATGTAAAAAGCGATGAACAATTGGATTAATCAATCCACAATTAACTATTTATATCTAACTGTAAATTAAACAATCCTTTTTGGGATTTTAAACATAACTTTTGCTTAGTTTCATCTAAATTCATTTCATTAAATGGTTTCTACTTACAAATAACTATCGGTTAATTATAGTTAATTGTTGTCAACAATTGCCTGAGAAAGTTTCAATTATTTTGACAGCTAAAGGCTTAACAATTAACATAAAATTTGACTATCGCAGAGATTATCAAATTGTTTGAGAAGAAAATGATTAACTAATTGTTACAAGTTATCAAGATCAAAATAAATAAACATTTCTCCAAAATTTGACGGTTAATTGTGGTGATAATTAGTTAACTGTTAGAGTGGGAAGCAATCAACTAATTAATCAGTTAAATTTTAAAAACAAGATAAAGTCCATTTAGTAAAACGCAATAGATTCACAATCAATTGGCCTGAGTGTTGACAATTAAAGTTTCAAAAGTGCAGTTGACATTGAAACCATTTAAACTGCTAAAATTAAACAATTAACAAGTTCTAATCACAATTATAATTAACTGAATTTCTTCTAATTCCTTGATGTTGTTGATTGTTATGGTGATGGTTCATGTTAATCATGTCTAAATCAGATTCACAATAAGGAACTGAATCAGCGGCGATTTTCATTCCGATGATCAACTAATTATAACAAGTGATGTATTAATAAATCAAATAAATAAACAAACGTTTTTCCCAAAGAATCAATTTAATTGTGATGGTAATTAGTTAAAGTGTGAGAGTAAAATAAAAACCAATTAATTGTATAGCTAAAACCAAAGCAACAAAGTAGCAACAATTAGCGATCAAGTTTTAAATATCTCGTCTACGAATTAAGTTAGTTAAGGAAAACTTAATTGACCTTTATCGTATTCAAATCATAATTAATTGTTAAAACTCCTTGGATAAAATTAAGATTATCAAATGAAATGAAATTAAGCTCAAGCAATACAATTACAAATGTAAAATTAATTTGATTCACTCAACAATCAGATGGGAATAATTAATATTAGTTTCCAGGTAAGTTTTCAATTCTTGTAAGTTGCAACTGAAGACAATCAAATTAAAAATGTTGATTAATTTAATTGAATATTGAATTATTATTGATAATTACCAGAAAGCAGAAATGATCAGACAATTAATTTTAATCACAAAATCTTTTGGCGTTCGTGGCCATTGATTTATCATGGATAACAATTAATCATTTTTTAAATATTGTCTCATATTACTTGAATTGTATTTTAATTACTAATCACAATAATTCAAAATCAAAAGTGATTAAACAAATTGTAAAATAAAACTTTTGATTAACTTCTCGTGACTCTACTCATTTATCAAATCAATCACTAATTATATCAATAAAAACAACAATTAAGCCCTTTAAAAGTCAACCATTGCTATCAAATTAATCCAATAAACAATTAATAAGTTAAAATTTCTCATTAATTGTCTCAAAAATTAAGTAAATCAAATTGGTAAACAATTAAGTTAATTTCACATGTGAAAATTTTTCTTAAATCAAACAAGATCAAGATCAAAAATTAACGAAATTGTTAAAATCAGAAAAAATCAAATTCGAGAAAAAAAAACTCACCAAGAATCAAGAATTAAATGAAACTAAATCTCCTTGGATTTAAAACAATTCATATCATCCGATTAGTAGGATAATCTCAACAATAATCTTTGTAACAATTTAATTAAATAAATAATAAAAGAATCAAAAATAAACAATTAATCAGTCTTGTTAATCAAGATCATCAAAGCTCATCATTAATCAAGGAAAAATAAAACCTTACAAGGATTGATTCATTTTCTCATGTGTTTATAATCTCGTAATTTCAATGAATGAAAATGAACAGAAAATGATATCTGCTTATCTTCATGACGATGAAGATAATAATAATGATGATGATGATGATGATGGGAGAAATTGTATAAGCGAAACTAATGATTACTACAGATTTAAATTGTGTATCCTGTTTAATGTTGTTGTTTTTTCCCATAGGAAAGGAAATGAGACAATGAGAAAGTAAAAATCACAACATTAACTTAGTTGTCTTCACTTGTCTCTGTCGCTTGTTTATCATCATCATCATCATTCATCAGCTTTGTTATATCATCTTAATTGCTTGTCTATCGAGCTGTTCAATTGTTAGCAGTGCGACCAATTTAATTACAAAGGTAAAATGTTATTACAATTGGAACGATCGGTTTTCCATTAAATTGTATGCTAATCAACCTTAAAAAACTTCAATTCAATCAACAATTAGATTAAATTGTGATAATTTGTATTCAACGATCGTAATTTTAATTTGATTAGATTATAATTTCCAAATGATTAAAACTTTATTGTGACTTTTTGTTTTCAGGGTTTATTGTTACTTTGATTTTATGTTTTGTTTTTTTGAGGTAAATTAATTGTTGATTGTAATTATTTGCTCGGGTGATTATCGTTATGATTAGCTGGATTTAGTTGTTAGTTTTAATTTTCCCAGGATGGTTAATGATAATGATTATTATTATTAAGTATCTAATCAAGGTGAAATAGGAATCAAATTAATTCTTAATGGTCAATCTGGTTGGTAAGAGACTAACTTGAGATTAACTGATTAAGATAAACATTTAATTTGGATTAAATTGTGATAACCGTGTATTTTATTTTCTATCGCAATCAATAGATTGTTGAAGATTTTAGTTTCATGTTTTTTTAAAATCTAAATTTAATTATTTTATAAATTGATACGAAATTTACATTTGCATTCAATTGCGTTTTAATTTTCTTTACAATAAATTATCATTCTGATTGATTCAGTTGTGAATGAATATGAAAAATTTACAATGTTTATCGAAACAAAAATTAACTCATCAAATGAAAACAGCAGCAGTTTGATTGATATTTGGTTCTCGGTGGTTAATTGATATCATCTCCGTTAGCATGGGTTCAGTTATCGTTGTCATGATTTGCTGAGAATTAGTTAATTCTGATATCAATTGATGTTGATGAAGTTGTTGCTGTTGTTGTTGTTGTTGTTGTTGTTGTTGTTGTTGTTGTGACAATGGTGGCAGTGTGTGGTGAATTTGATGATGATGATGTTGTTGTTGTGGTTGTGGTTGTTGAGCAATAATTTGATGTTGACCATTGGTTGTTGATATTGTTGCTGCTGTTGTTGAAGGTAAAGTGGAATAAATTGTAGCATCATGCCAATCGTTGATTCCTTGAGGAGATGAAGCTTGAGTTGACCAAGTTTCAGGTGAATCTGGACTCGGTGTCATATAATAAGGCTCCAGGTTATTAGAAAAGTTTTGCTGAAAAGATAAAAAGAAACAATGAGAAATAAGATTAAATGAGATTAAATCCAAATTTGATTATTCTAATTAAACATTATAAAGATTTTCTCAGATCAATTTTCTCGAGTAAAAATGTCACAGCCTCTAATCTACCGGATAACAGAAGCCAAACAGGAAATGAAAGAATCTTAACCCACCTCCTCCCTCTTTCTTTTCTCAGCATCTCTCCATCATCTTCGTCTTATGTATCATTACATCTTCATCTTATTCTCAGAAATTTTCAAGTTCGTTAATAAAAAACGTAGCTACTGAATCTCTGTTACGGCGATAATGATGATTTACTTTACTCCTGACCTTTTTTTCTCAAGCTCATCTTCATCTTTTATCTTCTCTCTTTCTTCTTCATCATCTTTATCTTTCTCTTTCCATGTTTCTTTTATTTGTTATTTAATTCTCTCCCACGCTCAGACTTATTTCTAAAAAAGTTATTTTCATTTCGTTCGCTTTTTTTAAGTATCTTTAAGTAGTTACAACTAATAAACATTGTCGTTCACAATAATACTTATAATATCTTAGTTAACGCTTTCTTTGTTCATGCTAAGTAATTTAAGAATCTGAGTCAACATGAACCATTGATTGTCATGAAATTGGATACCAATTGTAATTCTTAAAATTAATCAAAACAATAATGGAAAGCATAGCCTTAATTGATTCAATTCATTTTTCTCTTCCATCAATACACAATCAACTTTTTTAGCTTCTCAATGGCAAGTGAAATGAGAGATAACTCACTTGTGACCAGAAACTCATTCACAATGGCACACACACTATGATTAAGACAATTGATGAGAGAGTAAATTTTAAGATTATCATCATGATTGGAGTTGGTTAAGTAACAATAGTCTTTATGTCAAGAGAAAAATTTATTTCTCTATTTATCTTGATAGAAAAAAAAATACGATCGATTCTGTGTAGAGAAAAACTATTTGACCCTTTGCAATGCTCTTTGTGCTGTCAAGCTGATGATAAGTTTGGTTGTTGTCGTTGCAAGTTGTTTGCTCTAGAAAATGAGAAGAAAATGATAAGAAAGAGAAGAAAGAAAAAGAGGAATTCAAAATGACCTTTATCGTCTTTTCTCTTGCATTAGCTTCTTGCCCTCTTCTTAGTAACGTTAACCTCTAAACCATAATTCCCTCTTCATTTCGACCTTATTATTAGTCTAACCCGCGTCCTGTTCTTTCTTTTTGTTATCATCTCATTTCTTCTTTGTGTCCAGACTTTTCAACTCTCGGTCAAAAACATCAAGTTTCTTCCAATCTTCTCTCTTTTTTCTCTGTTGCAATTTTCTTAAAAATTGTAATGTGAGCAGAGAAAATACTAAAAAAGAAAGACAAGTAAGAGAAATTTGTAAGAGAGTGAGGAAAGAACCATCAACCGACCGAAGGCCAAAATCGGGAGAAGTAGAAGTTGATGATGATGAGGGGTGGGGAGGGAAAATTACACTGGGTAAGGTAAAGGAGCAGTGGGCTAGAAGTTGGTCTTCCATATGCCGTTCGTGTTGGTAGAGAAGGAAATGATATTGGTGATGATGATGGAGGGAGAATATATTAGGGGAGAGGGTTTATAGTAGAAAGAAGAAGAGGGAATGGAGAGAAAGAGGACAAGTTGAAGAAAGTAAATATTTTTCATCATCTTCTCTTTCTTTTTTATACTCTCTGGTTGGGACAAAATGGCGAATGAATCGAAAGTGGATTTTGATCTGTTAGCCTTGATCAACAAAGATAAATTTAATCTATTATAGTGAAAGTTGCCTAACATTTAAATTGACCTGAAAAAGTGAAGAAACTGTTTTTATATAATGATGAATAAATTTACCATATTATTATTATGATGATGATGATTGTTGTTATTATTTCTTGGTAAAGTATTGTATCCAGTGAAATTAATTTGTTGTTGTTGTTGCAATTGATTTTGTGATTGTTGTTGTTGTTGTTGTTGATGATGATGATGATGAGATAAACTTGATTGTCTTTGGTGTTTATTAGTTGTAGTTATAACATCATAAATTGGTTGAGATGATTGTTTTTGATGTTTAATTAATGTCGATGAATTATTATTTTTATTCACAGAAGAAGAAATATTTGATTTGTGTTGTGATGATTGTTGGAGTTGTTGTTGTTGTTGTTGAGAGTGAACTTGTTGTTGGGAAGGTGGAGTTGGAGGTGGTTGAGTTAAAGGTGTTGTTGGTGCTGTTGTCTGATGATGTGGTGGTGATAAGAGAGATGAAGGTGTATGAGGAGAAAGAAGATGCGGTGATGGATTAGTGACATAACTATGAGGAGGTGATAGAGGAAAATTATGTTGTGGAGATGATAATGTAAGATAGTCATAGTGATTAAGAAAAGATTGTTGATTAATAATCAATTGTGCTTGTGTGGTTGATGGTTGGACTGATGTTGTATTTGGTGGTAAATTAATTGGATGTTGCGTGTTAATATTAAGAAGTGTATTTCTTTGTGGTAGTGTAGGTGGTAATTGATGTTGAATCTGTTGAATCTGTTGAATTTGCTGTTGTTGGATTTGAATTGGCTGTAATTGATTATTTATTTGTTGATTTTGTAGATTTTGTTGTTGTTGTTGTTGTTGTATCGATGATTGAACTTGTTGTTCAATTGTTTGTTGATGATTATTTACCTGAATAGTTTCTTGTTTAATTTGACTTTCATTTGGATGTTGTGTCACTAAAACATGATTAGGTTGTGGATGAGATTCAATTTGAACTGTTAATTGTTGTGGTTGTTTTATTGGTGTTGTAGGAGTTGATGGTGATGGTGATGGTTGATTAACATTGATATTATTTTGTATCATATTTGTTGATTGCATCTTATTTGTTTGTTGATTAGATTTTTGTGATGAATATGGTTGATGAGAATTTGTTTTAGCTGCTTTTCTTGATCGACTTGCTTTTAATGTTCCATTATTATTAGAATTACCATTAGAATTATTATTTAAATTGCTGTTTGCATTAGAATGTGATCTTTTAAGAGTTGATGAATTAAAGTTTTCTTGAGCTTTTTGAATATTTGATGATTGTGATTGTGGTGTTGATGGAGTCGTTGGAAGCGGTGGTAGTTGTTTATTTTGTGAATTTGATGAAGATGATGATTGTTGTTGTTGTTGTTGTTGTTGTGATGACGATGAGTGAGATTGAGATTGATCTTGTTTATAAGTATCGAGTAAGTTGACAATATCTTTGTGCATTCTTTCCTCAGCGACATCCCGAGGATATCGATCCATATGATCGGTAATATCTTTGTTGGCCGAGTTTTCCAATAAAACTCTAACTGCTTGGCAAGATCCTTCTCGAGCAGCTAAAAAGAGAGGAGTACATTCTTCGTGATCTTGAGCATCTCTATTAGCATTATTACGAAGTAACAAACGAACAGCATCAACGTTATTAACCGAAGCAGCCCAATGAAGAGCAGTTCGTCCTTTCTCATCACAAGCATTAACATCAGCTTCGGCTTGAATTAGATCGTTCAACATTCCTTCACAAGCTAATCGAGCGGCTAAAATAAGGGGAGTTGTCCCATCATGAGTTTTAGCATTTAATTCAGTTGCTCGATTTCTCAATAGTAATTCAAAAACACCTCTTGCATCAGCGCCAATTGCTGTGTGAAGTGGTGTTCGTCCAGTTGAGTCTGTCGCATTACAATTAGCACCAGCGGCTAACAAACGTTTAGCTGCATCAGCACGGGCATGTCGAGCTGCTAAATGTAAACATGTTTCTCCAGTTTTCTCAGCAATTTTATTGATATCTTTTTGCTCTTGGAGTAATTTCTTGAAGCTTTCGTCTGAATTTGTTGTTGTTGTTGATGATGATGATGATGAACCATGATGATCATTGATATTTGGAGACATTATCATCATAATATCATCATTAACCGAGTTTGTTGTTGTAATTCCTTGGTGTTGTGCTTGTTGTTGATGGTTCATGTTAATCATGTCTGAATCAGATTCACAATAAGGAGCTGAATCGCCATAAGCTGAAAATACCATTAAAGCGGTTAATCCATCAGGTCCAACAATATTTTCATTATCTTCCATTAAACAATCACCGGAATCAGGACTCATTGGAGTAACTCCACCACCATTATTGTATGGTAATAATTCAGTTTTAATTAGTGGAGGAGGGATAATTTGAGTGGTATCACCAGTATAAGCTTCATAATGATGTTGAATATTAGTCCAAGCACGAGGATCATGAGGTTCTTCATAAATTGTTTCAGTTTTTGTCTCAATTGATGTAACACTTGTTTTAGCTGAACAATCTTTAACCATTCGTAGTTCTTGTCCATCATAATAATGACTTTGATTGTAGTTATTGGAACGACCATTGAAACGTTGAAGTGAATTACTTTGAAAAGCTGAATTTCTTCTACCACCATGATTACTATGATTAGAGTTTTTATTGCGATGATTTCTTCCGAAATCTCCTGATGCTGCAGCACAAGTAGAAACTGATCTCTGATATCCACCACCATCATTTTCTCCACTCTCTCCATCTCTTCTTCTTCTATCATCACCTCTTTCTCCTCCTCCTCCTCCTCTCCCTGATCCTGATCCTCTTCCAATGGTTGTGAAACCTTCAGGGAACCAAGTGATTGTCCCACCAACTTTAGATTTACCATTAACCTTAACAATAACTTGGATCAACATGGCAGAAATCAAACAAGCTCCGATAAGACAACCAGAAACAAGAGTCCAAGAGGGTCGATAATCATCAGAAGTTTTTTCTCCATCACCATAAGGAAGTAAATCTGATGGATTGAAGGCTGATTGAACTTTCACAACTGATAGAGCTTGGAACATACTTGGTTGACCCATGTCTTTACCACGACTTTCAAGTGCAGCGAAAAAGTTGGCCAACGATGATGCATCTTCGTAACAATTAGGATAACAAATACTATTGTCAATAATCAACGAGAGATTGGACCAAGTTTCACCCGTCGAAGTGTAATAAGGTTGAATTTCCTTTTCACTTGAACCCATTCGTCTTCTTATTCTTAGAATGACTCCGAGATTCGAGACAATTCGCAGGAATGATGATAATTTAACATTATCATTGATTAAATCGTTATAAGGCATATCAACAACGATGAATAACTCACCACGACCAAGAACCCGATGTCCAGTGAAACAATCTAATCCATCGTAACCACATTCAGATGAATCACAACCACTATCACAAAAACCATTTCCATAGTTTTCCAAACAATAATAATCATTTTTCTCGTTACATTTACTTCCTCCTTCTCCTTTTCCTCCTCCTCTTCTTCTTTCTGATCCACTTTTACCAACTTCAGGGAAGAAAGCAGGTAAACTGGAACTACGATTGGAAGGTGATGAAGGCGATGAAGGTGATGATGAGGATGGAGATGATGGTGATGAATCCTTGTTATCATTAACACAATCTCTTCCATCAAATAAACAGGCTCGATTGTTACATTCTTCATTACAAATACCATTTGAGAATCGAGACCAACAGAAAGAAGGTGAAGAACAATTCGACCAGGGGTTACCATTACCTAAGAAACATTCTTCTTTATTTGGACATTGTGGATGACAACTATGTCTCAAACAATCAATTTCTTCTTCTTTTACTTTTGGACGATTATTATTATTATTGTTATTAGATGAAGATGAAGATGATGATGAACGATCACAACGATAACTTCCATGTAAATTGACACATTTATCATTATATCTACAAGGATTATTGTTTCCACTTGAACATTCATCAATATCGTTTTCACAATAATGTCCCGTGAATCCGTTTACACAACTACATTGATAATCTCGGAAGTTTGTTAAAATTGTACAAGTTGCACCATTTTGACATTTGTTACCTGAACATGGATTAATTTCAGTTTCACATCTTCTCCCTGTAAATGGAACTGGACATAAACAAGTGAAATTGTTCACTTGATCGTAACAAGTTCCGCCATTCAACAAACTGGTCCCATGATATGGGACGAGATTAAACATTCGTTGATATTTGTTTCACAATTAATTCCGTAAATCCTGGGGACAAGAGCAAGTGTAATGAGATACTAAATTGTTACACTTTCCTCCATTAAGACAAGGTCCAGATACACATTCATTGATGTCCGATTGACATCGTATTCCAGTGAATCCTGGTGGACAATGACAGATGAATGATCCTGCTTTTGGTCCGGTGGCACAAGTACCTCCATTGTAACATGGATTAGATTCACATTCATTGTAATCATTTAAACATCTTGTCCCAAAATAACCACGAGGACATGAACATTTAAATGAATTGACTAAATCATGACAAGTACCACCATTAGCACAAGGATTAGAAGCACATTCATCAATATCAATTTCACAAGTAGGACCAGAGAAACCAGGAGGACATTCACAAGTCTATTAATGAAAATGAAAATAAAATGAAAATAAAAATGAATTACATGTAACAATAATACAATGTACTAATACTTTCTAATGACTTTTATATTAATACTTACGAATCCGTTTATTTTATCATGACAAGTTGCTCCATTTCTACATGGACTTGACCAACACTCATTTGTATTAATCTCACAAAGAGTTCCACTTGTACCTTTAGGACATTCACAAGCAAAACCATCAACAAGATCACGACAAGTTCCCCCATATAAACATGGATTTGATAAACATTCATTTATCTGAACTTGACAAAGTCGACCTGAAGAAATGAAATCAAATCAAATCAAATAACCAATTATAATTAACATTTTTATAATCATTATAATCATTATGATTTTTATCATCATTATATTAATAATAAGAAATTAGCTAATTAATTACCTTGATATCCTGGATCACAAGAACATGAGAATCCATCAATACGATCAATACATTTACCATGATGACAAGGTGATGAAGAACAATCATCAATATCAATGTCACATGTTTTCCCTGAGAATCCTGGTGGACAACGACAAGTAAATCCAGCGACATCATCAACACATGAACCACCATTCAAACAGGGGGATGAGAAACAATCGTTTTCATTTTGTTCACATCGACCACCCGAGAATCCGGTTGGACAAATACATCGAAATGCATTAATCAAATCGGCACATGTACCACCATTTAAACAAGGATTGTCTGAACATTCATTTATATCGGTTTCACATTGTTCACCGGTAAATCCTTGCATACAAATACACCGATATCGTCCTCTCTCATCTAGACAAGTTCCATCGTTTTGACAGGGAGATGAGTCACATTCGTTGATGTTTGTCTCACATCGAGCACCAGTGAAACCGATGGCACATTCACATTTAAATGACCCCGGAGTGTTGACACAACTTCCACCATGTTCACAAGGGCTTCCCGCTTCTTCACATTCATTTACATCTTCAGTGCAATAGGTGCCCTTGAAACCAGGGGGACAAGAGCAAATATAAGTCCCATCGATGGGCGAGGTGTCACAAATGGATCCCGATTGACATGGATTGGAGGCACATGCATCATCATACTGACAGAAAAGTCCCGTTTTACCTGGTGGACATTGACAGTGAAAGGAACCAACTCGATCAATACAAGTAGCACCGTTTTGACAGGGGGAACCAATACAATCATCAATATTCTCGGAGCAATCAGGACCAGTCCAACCATTGACGCAAATACAATTGTAACCACCACGAGTATTGACACAAGTTGCTCCATTTCGACATTGAGATTGCCTTAATGAACACTCATCAACATCAATGGAACAATAAAGTCCAGTGAATTGTGGTGTACATTGGCAAGTATAATCATTAATCCCATCGATACAAGTAGCTCCATTTTCACATAAATTATCTGCACAATCATCAATGTTGATTTCACAATTGATTCCTTCAAATCCTTTTGGACAACGAATTGGATTAGTTGAATAAGAAAAAGATGATAAAGAAGAAGAAGAAGAAGAGGTTGAAATTGATGTCACCAAACATGATAGAAAAATGACCAAGTTCAGAATAAGAAATTGTTGTTGATAAAATTGATGACACATTATTGCAACAATAAGAAAGAAATGAAAAATTAGATAATCCAAGAGACACAAGAGAGTTTGGATTTAAAATCCAACTCAATCCGATGATGGAATTGAAAAACTCTCACAACTTTTGAAAAGATGGAAAATTGGACATGAAGATGAAAAGATTATTTAAAAGACAAAACATCGAAGACAGAAAATGTTGATTAATTGTAACCAAAAAGAGAAGAAAAAGAGAAGAAAAAAAGTTAAAAGGACAAATTAAAAAGAAAAAGAAAAGACATTCACAAGTTACAAAACAATTGGATAAAAAACATGGCGTCAAATGTCCGTTAAAAGATCAGAGGGTTAATAATATTGTTGCTTGTTCTCTTTCTCTTTCTGTTCTCTTTCCTCTGTTGGATTTATAAAAACAGTTCGATTAACCGTAGCGATGAAGATGAAGATGAGGATGAGGATGACGACGGTTACCAATAGACACTCGAATGGAAAGAGAGACACAAATAAAAGAGAGAAATAAACGATCTCCTATAAAGAAAGAAACACAAGTTACTCTTTGGAAAAGTTTTGTTCAACTAACAAATGTTTTCTATTTGAGAGAGAAAAAGAGACTGAAAAGGAGAGAAGAGAAAAGAGAAGAGAAAGAAGAGAAAGAGAAAAGAAAGAGAAAAGAAAGAGAATTTGTTAGTTGGATGAGAGAATGAGACATCTAGTGGTTGGAGAGGAAGAAGAGAAGAGAAAGAAAAAGAGAGAAAAAGAAAAACCTGTTGCCCCCTTTTAGAAAATAAAAGAGGGGAAGAAAAGAAAGAGAAAAAGAACCGTGGGAACGTAAAAGAAAGAGAAGAAAATCACTTAAACTAAGAGATTTTTCTCTTCTCTTTCTTTCATCGGACTTTCTCTCTCTCTCAATTCTCTCTCTCGCTCCATCTCATCATCGTCTCTTTTTTTGTGCTTCTTCCATCTTCATCTTTCGCTCCCTGAGGTAACAAGTATTATCTTCATATCTGTTTCTTTTTCTCTCTCAATTTTTATCTTTCATTTTCTTCTTACCTCATCTTCATCATCTTCTTTTTTTATTCTTATTAGTTTTTTATAATCTTTTCTCTCTCACTCTAAGAATCAGCTTGTCTCTTTTTTTTCTTATTCTCTATTCTATCATCATTATTTTCTTAGTTTTGATCAATTCATCATTATCCTTATTTATCATCATCGATATAATTCAATTGTTGTGATTAATTCAATCAAACTGATCAAACCTTTTTCTTGCCATAACCTCAGCAATCATTTTCAGTCGCCATTTTTATTCCCAGATTGATAATTCCAGTATTGGAGGATTTTCATCGGCAAATTACTCATTCCGGTCATCTATTCAATAAATTAGAGGTTTAAATTGTCTTTAAATTTAAAGACAAATTCAAAACAAAATCATTGTATTTATCCGATTAAATCACCAAAATCTGGGCCCCAATCATCTCGGGTTCACAGGTAATGTCATCGTCACAGTCATTAATGAAACATAGATCATAATTACTGTCAATTAGTCAACAAGACAAAAAAAATCCGTTTCCAACTGTCAGTTGAAAATTAAATGATCAAAAATTGATTTAAAGAGAAAATCTAATTTAAAGATTTTCAAACAAACAATCAAAGTCATAAGCAGCTTCCACCTCGTTCGGATATCGCCTTTAGCCCCACCGATGTTGCTCAAAGTATTTAGAGTCAATTTTCAGGAGAACTAAATTAAACAACCAAATTAAACACAAATTAAACTCAACAATCAGTTAATGGAAAATTTTGATCGGAAGTAACGAACGAAAAAAATTCTTCAGAACTAGTTTGTATTCGAAATGATAGATGGCAGCAAATTCGCGAAAAGGCGCCAAAAGTTTTGGATCTAATTCCATTTAGATTCGAATAAATATCCGATAGATTCAAATGCATAATCGGAACTCGAACCGAACTGCGGGTTAATTTTCGCTTTTCTGTTTTCGGATTCGGTAGAATTTTATTTTTCTTATCTTTTCAAAAGATTCTTTTGTTTTCTCTTTAATCTTAATTGTTTTTCCTTTCTCATCGAATTGTTTCAATTTTTTTCTTTTTCTCTGTTCAATAATTATGGTGAATCTTCAATAACTTTGAATTGCCTTTTGTCAGAAATGTTAAATTTTCATCGGTTTTCATTTCAATGTCAAGGTTACATGTTAAACCGTTTCCAATGTTTATGTTGTTATAATCATAACTTCATTGATTGTGAATAATTACATGATTTAAATATTTCCTCATTTTCACGTTTGTTTTGTAGTTATGGAAATCAAGTGTTCGTCATTTGATCAGATGTCTTGATGGGTTAAATTACTATTCAATTTATTGGTTTCTCTTTTCTGGTGTTTTGGGTTACAATCGGTTACAAAGAAACGTTTCATTTTGTCAACTCATGGTGATTAAGACATAATCAAATTGTGTTACAACTACTTCTCCATCCTTCATGTTCATGAATTATGCTGATTGGTGACAATTTATTTGGCTCTCACTTTGACTCTTCACAACAATCTCATTTGTAAACTCTCAATGAAATTCTGATGTTTATTTAGTTGTCATATTAGTAATTACTTTGGAGTTTCTTTTACTTCCTTTCATTATAATAATGGTCTTATCTGTTTAATTTTGAACTGGTGGTCTCAATTGATGATTTATCGAATCATGTTTATTAACTCAACCGATGCAATTTTATTTCTCTCGTTCGGTTTCTCAATTTAATCTGTTCTGCTGATTTAACTCCATGGATCAAAGGTTATCATCAATATTACAAATCTCATTATCTAAATCACCATAAAATTCAACAACAATACCAACAACTTCACCGTCCACACTAAAAATACAACTTGTATCCTGGTTGTAAAAGTTTAATTTCTCTCTTCCAATCTCCTGTTTTTTTTTATCAACCAGCCAAGTTATACCAAAGATTCTCTAACAATTTACCTCATCTATTTATAACTTATACGTCCACTCATTGTAACAATTACAGTTATATTCCCACCAAGTAATCTCATCATTGTTTTCTAAACAATTTTATCTTGTATCTCTCTCATTATGGCCAATTATGGCTACCTATCGTCTTCACCAGCTCATTACGTTGATCACAATCAGATGAAACGTCCTGTCCATGATTCAAATTGCTGTGGTTTGTCAACATCCTTCATTGCCTTCATCCTGAGTGTCTTCAATTTTATCCTGTTTTTCAGTGGTTTAATTATTCTTGCCATAGTGATCTTTTATGAACACCCTCCTTTTGAAGGTGAACAAGATCTTCATCTACCTATTATAAGGTCTCTTCTCTCTAAAAGTCATCCATTGAATCTCATTCATTACAAGTTAATTGTTTGCGGTTTTCTTGTTTGTCTCATTGCTTCTGTAAACATATTCCTCAATTGTTATTTTTCAATCAAAAGAAAACGTGAAAGAGACTCAGAAATTGATGGAATCACAAACGATTTAGATGAAATTGCATTAACATCTCAAAATGATATAACAAGGTATGTAAATGATTAGTGGATAAAAAAATCGTTACTCTCATGGTTAAATTTGATGAACGATTTTTTCCTCTATTTTTTTTAACACATAAACGCTTGACAATTTATCACATTAGTTAACATTTTATGCAAATAAAATGAATCCAACAAATGTGAATGCAAAGTCAACGCCTTATCGTTATGCATAAACATGTACAACTTTTTTCTCTTTTCTTATTTCCTCTATTTTTATTTACTCATCTCATTATTACCTCTCTTCAGAACTTCGGTGACATCAAGGAAAAGTGATACGTTCCCGTCATATGCTCTGTGCTCTTTCATCTTTGCTCTTCTATTGCTCTTCACCATCCAACTTTGCATCTCTTTATTTGCGTTTTTCTCAGTTTATGGAACTGGCAATGGATTTGAAGGTTACACCCAAGAGTTTAATCGATCAATAACCGAGAATCTTGGTCAACCAATTGAAGTTGTTCGCAATCATCCTGAATCTTTTCAGCTTCTCGAGAAGAAATTCAAGTGTTGCGGTTTAAAAAATTACCAAGATTACGATAAAGATTTACCTGTACCAGATTCTTGTTGTAAAACAACAATTCCCGATGATGCTTGTGGTAAAAGACGTCACCCGTCAAACATTTATTTCCAAGGGTGTTTACAGAAAATCGCCAAAGTCGCTTCAGATCACACGCTCTTATTGGGATCAGTTTCATTTGGATTCACGTTAATCCAATTCATTGGACTTGTTTTCTCTTGTTGTCTTTACGTTCAATTAGTTGCCAGTAAAATGAGCTGATCGTTATCTTCATTATATTTAATCATTTCAAATATTAATGAGTAATTAAAATGATGCTCATCATGTAACTAATATAAACATCTTCAAAAGCCTGGAAACAATTTTCGTCGTCTTGCCAATGGATCTTCATTTTTTCTTCTTTTATCCTTGTGTTCACTATCATTTCACATTGTTCTCTCTCTCTCTCTCTCTCTCTCTCTCTCTCTCTCTCATCAATGTTCATCATCATCATCATCATCATGATAATGTTTACATTGAGCTGCCAATACAGACAAAAAAACTTTGCCTACAACAATCGATGAGCAATTTATGATATAATCATGCATTTACCATATGAATGACAGCAAGAACTTAAATTTGCTTTAATTGTATAAACTGTAATATTTAACGTAAATCATTGTATCTATTATTGCCAGTGTAACATTTTGCTTTGAACTAATTATAATGTAACAAACAATTTAATCTAATTGTTAAAAACAAACCTGCGACTGATGTACAACAATGGCAACAGCAAATTTATGACAACGATCAAACATATTTATCGATTTTGAATTGCAAACCATTGTGATCAAATCATCTATTAATTATTACCCAATTTAATTTCCTAATTGTTAATCCTCTAATAGAAATTGATTTTTTCTTCATATTTATTGTAATTAGAAATCATTGCAATTGGTTAAACAATTAGGAATAATAAAATTAGCATGTAAACAAAAACTTTTCATGTTACTCAACAATTTACGAGATTATTTGATTGACTGAATCAATTATTCATGAAAATTATCTCAACAATTAAAAGAGAGGATGTAAAGGATTAACCCATTGGTATTATTAGAAATCAAAAGCAATTAGTTAATTATAAACATGACCTGCTTCAAGAATCAACATTTGGCTTATTGCACCAAGTCAATAGTTTATTGGTAACAATTTACTGACAATTATTGGAAATTATGTTTAACTAAATCGTTCCTTAATTGCTGTTCCTTAACATGTCACTCAGTTTCTACCAAACAACATCGTAATTAAGTTAATTATGGTAACAATTTGATTGACAGACTAAGTTTTTAGTCTTAATTTCATCAGAAAAAAATTCATCCTTTTTTTCATCAGGTTAAACAATTAGCTAAATTGTAGTTAACAAAGGTCAGTTATATTTATCATAACAAGACAATTAACAAAAAATATTAACCAAACAATTAAATAGTTTTCACAAGTTTAAATGTTTCATTCATTTAAATTGTTGAGTTGAAAGGTTTTTTGGTTTTCAATCAAGGGTTCAGGAAATGAAACAATTAGTTAATTGTATCCAAAAGTTAAACTTTTTATTTTCATATTCTTATTGTTATTAATTGTATTAATATTTTACTTTGTCAATCTTGATTTTATATCCACTAAATAATATTAATTGTTTGTCATTTCTGTTTTACATGTAAAATAATTAACGAAACAATCACCATAAATTTGGTTTAAACAATTAGTTGATCAATTGGACAAAATTATTGAATAAATTGTTTTATCGATTAATTATTAACCTTGTTGATTGGTGGATGATGATCAACAATTAGAGTTAATTTAAAAAAATGTAATTTGATGAAACAAATTTAGATAATTTAGTTCTGTGATAACTATTTACAAATCATTTCTTTTCTCCCCCTTTATAATTAGTCACAATTAAGTTCAATTTAGTGTAATTATCCCTGGTTAACCATGTGATTAGAGACTAGAAATTGTTTGAAGTATCAAAAATGATGATAAACCTTGATGATGAGTTGATTGTTTTGTGTTGAGATGATGATTATGATGATCGAGCAGAAACTCAGAGAGTGACACATCCTTTTGTTTTGAACAATATAATTAAGTTAATCGATTTCATGTTGATTAACAATTTGTTATCGAATGAAAAATTTATCCATGATAAAGATCCAAAAATCAAGATCCTTAATTGTGAGAATGAGTCAATGATGATGATGATCAATTTTATCTTCTCCATACCAAGAATTGAGAATCCATAGTTTCGAGTGATAAATAATTATTTAGGTAACATCATTAATCCACAACAATATATCACATAGTTTAGCTTCATCTCTGAGGTGGTTGACAATATAATGACAGTGATAAGCAAAAATTTGAAGGTTCACTAATCATAATTGTCTAGTTAACTGTTTTTCGTGCACCTTCATTGATCAAGGTAAAAAATTAACAATTGGGAAAAATTAGAAGCAAAAAAGGTGAAAAAAACAACAACAAAAAGAAAACAAGTTTGAGAGGAAAGAGTGAGAAAAATTGGAAGATGCTAATGATGAAGATGAAGATGAAGATGATGATGATGATGATGATGATGATGATGATGGTGGTGGTGGTGGTGGTGGTGGTGGTGATGATGTGAGTATGGTGATGAGTTGAATGTCCACACTAATTATCTTGTTAATTAATGAATGAATGTATTGTTTGGCAAGAATTCAATGTTGCTGGTTAATCAACATTAGACCAGGAATGTATTTCGTGATTTATCAGTTAATTGATTTCATGAATATCGGCAGTTGTCAGAATCAATTGTTATCCTTGATGATCCAATTCGCGAATTTACAATTTTTCTGTGAGTATACTAGTCTAGTTTATATACGTTTTCGGTTCTTTTTTTTTGTTTCAGTGATCAGGTTACGATGATATAAGAAGATGAGATTTAAATTAGTTTTTTTTCCCTCTTTCATGGATTGAGCACCAGTCGAATTTATTTCCAGGCATTTGGATCAATCTGATCTTCAATTTGAATAGTCGCAATTGGTCAATCGTTTCAATTTTTCCGATAATCAGATTGAAGAAAGTGGAAAATGGTTGAAAGTGTCCAGAATGATTTAGATCAAGTTTTCACTCTTCTAATTGCTATGAGCCTTAATTTACTTGAGATGCGTCGGCAACTTGATTATCATTTCCGATCAATGAGGAAAAAGTTTAGCCATTTGTCTGCTTTTTTTGTGGTCAGTAGGATATACGTAATTTGATTATCCCTAAGGCAGTCAAAGGTAATTAACCTTTCAAATGATGGAACCATTTCCAATAATTGGCAATAATTGTAATCACCATGAGTGTGATAAATTGTTGACCATTCAACAATTTAGGATGATAATTTTCCATGAATTTTAAATTGATAAAAAAAAGTAAATGGAAGATGAAAGTTTCACTTGTAGTATCATGAATTGTCTTTCATATTAACTGGTATCATAACCTTTCCAATCAGGAGGAGGAGCGAGATAAACACGTCGGTTTCTGAACATGAACGGAACGACTCCTCGGTAACCCGTCCTAGGAACACCAGACTGAAAAGAAAGAAAAGAAAGAGAGAGGATGAGTAAAGATGATAATGATGATAATGATGATGTAGACAAATATAAAGACACACACAGAGAGAAGAGAGACTCAGCAAGATATTAGCTCGATCAATTTCAAGAGAGAGAGAGAGAGAGAGAAACAAGTTTCCATCAGAATCCGGTGATTCTGTTGGAACCTTAAAAAGTAACATTAATTTTGTGATCTAGTGAATTTTCTGGGCAAATGAATTTCAATTTGACTAACAAACTTGACTCAAGTTAATTGATTTGGTGATCATTAAATTATCTTTAACAATTGGAGGCTTTCTCCTAATAACTGGGTACGAGAGGATGACAATCAATAGAGGACGATTAATAATTAATGATGACAATTATGTTGCAAGATGATAAATCTATAATAATTAAAAGGTGATTACAACAGATACTTTTCTTTATACTCTAACAAGTAAGCAGGTTTTATGATGATGATGAGAAAAGTTTGTTGTTATCATGATAAATCTGAAAGTAACTAAGAGGAAAGGAAAATGATGATAAAAATGAAGATAAAAGAGTAAGAGAAAAGGAAAAAGATGAAGATTAATGAGAGAGGGAAATATATTCTCCTTCATCATGATCATCTCTTTTCTGAGTGAATATCAAGTTTCGTAAGCAAAAGTAATTCAAACAATTCTTACAATTGATATTATTCAGAGAGATTGTCTTGATAAGCTAATTGAAGCAATAACACTAATCAGTAATCAAAAAGAAAGTGAAATTTTTCAAAGATCAATCAACTAATCGTAACGTTTGAAATTGTCACTCATTATTTAGACTGTTAATTGTGATTAACAAAATCACCTTAAAATCATCCATAAGTCTAAAGGCTTTGGCAATACTCTTGAAGTTGACTTTCGATCGATAAGTTAACCGAACTGGTCCATTTCCTTCAATTCGTCCACCAGCTAATTCTTGGACAGTTACTGGAGGACTTCCGTATACCGTTTTAATGAACCAATCGTCATAATTATCCTGACAAAGATTAATCAAAAGACAATAATTAACAATCAAGAGTAATTATAATTTTAAGTGAATAATAAAAAATCATCGCGATAGTGATGATAAATTGTAAAAGATGAAAGTTTCATTGATCATTACAAAACAAATGAAACAATTATGATAATTGTAATAAAAATGATGATAAGGAAGAGAATTAAAATTAATGATTATACAGGTAAAGGTTTAATCATGATTTAATCAAATGTAATCACTTACTTTTAGAAGGTAAGTTAAATTGTACTTTGTGAAAGGCACGAATTGTTCATTGAGTTTAATGAATTTAAGATGTTTCTCAAAAAAGAGACCACTAAAGTATAAAGGAAAATAATGAGAAAGATAAAATCAGTAAATCAGATTACTAATTACAATGATAACTAATTAAACAATTAATCAACAGTTGTATTGTTATTATTATCTTACTTGCTCACTCCAACTTTTCCAAATGTTTTGGTTCGAGATACTTCAGGCCTGATACAAGCACGTTCCTTACGTTGAGCTGGTTGTCTAATCCAATCATCCCAAAATCTGATTAATCAGTGAGACACATAATCATATTAACAACAATTAACAGTTAACAAAAATAAACGGTTCATTCAATAATCAGAGCTCATCATCAGATCGTATATCATTATTGTAAGAAGCTTATATCAAGATTGATCATTTTGTTGGTACAATAAAAAAAAACAATTCAGGATCTGATCATGATCATGATGATGATCAATTTCATGATTATGAAGGTGATCATCATCATCATAATTTTCATTATGAAACTTACGCTTTAGGCCATTTATCGGCAATTTCGAGCCAAACATTTTTCGTCATCATCCATCCAAGGCCAGGAAAAAAATCTGATCTATATAATGTATCAGCTGAATATTTAAAAGTAACAATTAGTTAATTGAGAAACAATAGAGGGAGGAAAATGATTAAGTAGAGGGGGGAAGTATACAATTAGATTAATGTATTAAATTGTTGATGATTGAGTAAAGTCAATCAATATGTCACATCAATATAAGGTGTGAATCGATTGGTAATGTTTGGGTTAGGAAACTAAATTGACTTTTTTTTTGGTGACATTTGATTTTTTTTTAGGTTGAATGATTAAAATTTAATCAAACCTTGTATTTGATTGAGGGAGAGATAGACTAAGTTGACAATTAATTAATCAATGTAAAAAAAAAGGTTATTAGGTAATTTTTGTTAGAATGTCAAATGAATTGATTTAAAGGTAATATAGTTAAAAATCAATGTACAATATGAAACAATACAACAGGATTATATTGATTTGATTGTGACGATAATGATTCAAATCATCTGCCCATTGTTCATTATTAATGATGAATCAAATTAAGGTTTAATGAGACAATTTAGATATTATAATAATCTAATAAATAAATTGTTATGTTGACGTGTTTTTTGGTTGATGGTGTTGATGAATATGATGATGATTAAACTAATGTTTACAATGTTAACAAACAATTGTCATCGCTTGATAAACCATATAAACCCATATACCCTGATCATACATCATCAAAATCATCTGATAATTGTACAGTTAATATCAATGAGAAACAATATATTATAATAATAATAATATACCAGATTTGATCAACCTTTTGAATGTCATTAATAACATTGTTTACCATTGTGCATTATCAAGGTAATCAGATTGAAATTATTTGTCTGATAAACAACAATCATTGGACCAAATCAACACACGACAGAATTGAACTTTCAGGGTGTGTAGTTGTTTTTAAAGGGTGATAAAGATAATGAAATTGATGATGAGTGTTGATCATGTACAGCTGATTGTAATATGAATATGTGTTCATAGTACATTAATAATAATAATAACAATAATCAAGTAACTGTAACAATCACCCAGAAAAAAAAGTAATAAGGGATTTAGAAAGGATTGAGGAAAAGGTAAATAAAAAAAAGGGACATAAATGTATTTCGTATTGTGAAATGTTTGTACCTGAATTTTCAGCGATTAATCCTTCTTTACCATTATCGTTCCAGGCTGAGACACACCATAAAGTGGAATCGGCTACGAGAAGAGGATAAGTGGCTTTAAAATATTCGAAAAAATCTGGTGCAATATCGAGATCATCTTCCACAATGATCACCGTATTGTAGTTAAATGTGTTAAACGTTTGATTTAATGCCCATGCATAATGACGAGATATCTTGTAATATCCTTTAAATTTTTTCTCTTTCCCTGTTAATGGAATGTCACTCAAATCGGGATGACGAATTAGAGTAATCTGATCACCGTAACTTTGTAACACTTTACGAGTTGGTTCATGGCCACAGTCTTGGCTTACGATTATTGGAAAACTTATTGAATCAGGTCGGTGTTTTATCAATTGGTCTAAATTACGGCGAACGGTAACACGATTACATGAGAATAATAATACTGCAATTGAATTGGATAAACTATCCATCTCTGTACCACCATCACCACCATTTGATTGTTTCTTTAGGCTTCGTAAACTGTTTATTAACAGTTTATTTGAATTAATTTGTTCTTTTAAATCTTTTTCAAATTGTCCAACTTGCTGGTTAACATCTTTTAATTTGATTACCTGTTGATGATGAGGAATTAATAATAGAAGAGGAATTGAAAGAGACACAAAGAGTAAAACTCTTACTATCCTCACTATTCGCACTCTAACCAATCTTAATCCTCCAAACATGATAAGTTATAGATGAGGTTGGTTTTTGTTGGTGTTGTTGATGGTGATAACTCGATGACGATTTGATGGTGATGATGTCGATGGTGATGAACAAACAAAATTAAATGATTCTAATAAAAAAACAAATTAAAATGTTGATTTTTCTTGGTTCTTGTTGTTGGATTTTTGTTGATTGTTGTTGTGAATTTTTATTCCAAACAACAATAGATGGCGTTCAAATCCATCGGTTGTCATGGTTACCAAATAGTGACATCTGTTGGTACTTATTGTTACTATTCCTTCATATGAAAAGTTTTTCTAATTGTTCAATTAATCACTTCAGAAATTAAGAAATTGTTTTCATTATTAATTTTGTTTTTTTTTATCATCAATTGGAAATTCATTTCTTTGGATTATAGTTGATCTCATTTTCCAATCAATTTAGGCCGCAAAATTAATCAATTGATTGAGTCAAATTTTTCTCCTCAGATCAAAGTTCAATCAGTTAACTGGATTAACGAAGGATAAATCTTAATCTTTCAATTGTCGTAATAAGTTTATATTATATTTTTATGGAGAAAAATATGTTGATTAAATCATCGTCATCATTTAGTGAATTACTAAATTTACAGTGGAAATTGATGTTATAAATTAATTCCAAATGAAATAGGTCTGACTTTGTAATCGATTTCCATTATTAGTTGATTACAATCGTCACATTAAATGACATTATTCATGTATAAAAACATGAATAATTATTAACTAGAAAGGTAAGTTGATGATTACAATTAACCAATGATATTTTGGAAATTGTTGTGTTGATTGATTGATTGGCGGGTAATATGTTTATTCATATTGTAACAATTGATTAAATGAATAAATTGTTAGTTGTATAGGAAACAAAAGAAAAGGAAATTGTAATATTTGTTGATGGAGGAAAAAAAGATGAAGAATAAAATGAAGTAACCGTTAATTGTTATGGTTAAATTAGCTGAATCGTTTACGTATCAATCAGCGTGATCTTCAAATCATATGGTGTTCATCAACCTTTTTCCACTAATCATCAGCAATCTAATTCAATTTAGATGAATTATCTTTTTCTTTTCTGGTTAAATTTAGTAACATAACCTTGAAGGTTGTTGATTCCTTTGGATAGATAGTATTTTTTATCCTCAGATGTAACGATTTAATTAATTACTATTTTAGATAGATTGTAGATCAGCCATTGATTCCCATAGTCTTAATTAAGATTAATTGATCAACCTGTAGAGTTAATATTAAAAAAATTCTATTAGATAAACTAATCAATTTCCTATAAATAATCAATTGATAAAAAAAATCAAATCGATGATGAGTTTACCTTTATCATAAATATTGTTATCATCTTCAAATTGTTACCATTTATCCTCGACGGTAAAGATTCCAATCTTATCAATTAACTGGATTGTGATGATTATACGATAATTAACCATCTGTAAACAATTAGAAAGATACATTTAAATGATGAACAAGCTCTTAAATTGTACATTGGCAAAGGAAAAACAAATAACACTTTACATACACAATCCTGATCATTTGAAATAACAAAAATACCAACAGATTGGTGTTGTTTTTCCTAGTGGAATCATTATTTTTACAGAATATAAATATTCCAACTCATGTCTAATATCTAATAGTGAACAAGAAGAAGATTTCACAAGTTAAATTGTAAACAATCAATTTCCAAATTGATTTGTAGCCTTGAAGAAAATGATTTTCCATTGAAACTTGATGCGAAAAACGGTTGGTAAATGTGTTTGTAGAAAAGTGAATGAGTTAAGGAAGAAAGAGAAAACTAATCAACACTAAGAGTAACAGGGAGAATATTGAAAAATTAATTAGAATCAATAACAATTAAATAATCGAAAGTTAATCCGAAGAAGAAAACAAAAATTTTAATCCATCGGGGAAAAAGAAAAGAAAACAATCAGCTGACCTTAGGCCCAAAGAGAAAAAGGCGGAGCATCAGAAGAGAAAAGAAAATAATTAGTAACAAAAGGAGAGAATAGAAAATCTGAAAAATCATTTATTCTAATTAAATTTGTGTCCTTTTCTTTTCTTGCGTTTTTCTTTAATCTATTATTTGTTTTTCTTTTCTCAATCATCAAAGGAACAAGAAGAAGAAGAAGAGTAAACAACAATTACTGTTGTTGATTAATTGTTCTAATTTAATTAGAGAATATGAAACTTGTGTTGACCATTTTCTTTTTTTTCTATCTGTTTTTTGTCTTATTCAATATCTTCCTTCCTCTTTCCTTTCCACCCTCTTCTCTAACAGATACACACATTACAATCTGGATTCCCGTTTGGTAACCATATTGGCAAAAGGTCCCTTGTCTTACCATAAGATATAATGGTGATGATGATGAAGATGATGAAGATACGGCACAACATGAATCTCTCAATGTTTTGTTGTTGTGGATGAGATGACACACTCTCACCGGAAACTATGTGAGTACAGACAATTTTTTTTCTCTCACTTTGTGTCTTTTCATTTTCTCTCCATCTTAGATTTGCATCTTCTCTCTCTCTCTCTCTTTCTTTCTTTCTTTTTTTTTCTTTCGTTCTTCCTTCATTTCAATATCTCTTAGCATCCTCATCATCTTTAACACTAAATACCAAAAATAGCTTCTCTCCGGATGCAGATACACTGGTGATGATGCTTAAGATGATCCTTGATGAGAATGAGAGCTTGCTCCTTTAGTTGATCTTCTTTTTTTCCTATGTGAAAAAAAGAGAAAGAGGAAAAAGATAGTGAGAAGAAAGAAGAGAGAGAAGAAGAGGTCGATTCTCTCTTTGGATTATTGTAACGGTGAAGGAACAAACTGTTCATTGAGTTTAGATGGTTGATCATCATCACTATCAAAATTCAAATTGATTGTCAAACAATTAATTTCAATATTCTCTTCCACTTGTTATTGTGATTACTTTTTCTTCAGTGTATATATTGATCTGTATTCATCATCTCCATTTTATCATCAACTCTCTCTCTCTTCATCTGAACTTTGTGTTATGTCTCTTATGATTATCATCTTTGGACCTGTTGTTGATAATGGCTAATGATTACATCTCATTACATTTATTTCCCTTTTTTCAACTTGTTTTTCATTATCAAGTGATTGTTATTTAATCAGTGATCTCCTTAATTCCAATCAAATCTTTATCTCTCCCTATTCCCACCAGAATTCAGCTCATCTGATAACAGCAAATGATGGACCAAATTTAACATGGGATTTCAGTGATAAATTTAATTCTGATTGGTTTAAATTAAGAAACAAAAAAAGGAAACAATATCTTTTATCTCATATTGTGTATCTTGTGCCTTAAGTTTTTCTATTTCTCTTTCCTGTTATTGTTATCAACCTTTTCTCTCTCTCTCTCTCTCTTTCTCTCTAATTCTGGATTAATCAATTTTGGATTTTTTGATTAGATGTCACATTTACTCTTCTACAATCACCATCTAAACATGACCATAATCTACTAACTATTACAACATAATTAATTAATATCTTTTTAATTTAAACAAGTGACAACAACAATAACAAACAATGTATCATCTGTGTAATAATAGTTTACTGTTACTCTGTACGATTATTATCATTTTCTTTGTGCCTAATCTTGTCTATTGTGCTAAATGTCAAAATAGACCAGACCTACTTCCATCAGGTGAGATGAAATTAATCACTGGCTCCTTCAGTTTATCTTATTAATCTAATTGTTAATCTTAATTATTAACCTTAATCAGCGCCATTTATTCCCAAAAAACATCACAATCCATACACAAGTAAATACGCTGGAGAAAGTGTTATATTCAAATGCAAATCCAGTGGAAATCCTTGTCCCAATATAACCTGGTTCAAAGATGGTCAACAATTAGACAGAAATGATATTAATTTGGACCATGTAAGAGTTTTAATTTAATTGTTCAATTCAGAGTCTGAATTTTAAGTTAATTGTGTTTACTTGAATCTTTATCTTATTCAGGTTAAATTTAAAAAGTTTTCTATTGATTTCGCTCGTTTAACTCCAATCGATGCTGGAAACTATTCATGTTTAGCTATCAACGATTTTGGTAACGATTCTATATGGTTTCAATTGAACGTTAGTGGTAAGTTAATCTGATTGATACTTTTCTTAATTTTGAAAATCATTCGATCAACAATTAGCTCATTTTCGCTGATAATTTATATTTATATCAATCTAAGAATGGATCGCACCTCATGTAATCAATGATGAGATATCGCAACGTTCATTGTATGTTGGTGATGATTTACAATTAAATTGTGAATCAGGATCAGATGCTGCTGAGAGCACTTATTGGTATAAAAAAGTTGGAGATGAATGGATTGAATATGAAGTAAGTGCTTTTCCTTTTCCTACTTGATTTATATTTAGTCGCTAATTAGTTAGTTTAATCAATTAATCGTTTATTTATTTTTTCAGGGTTTGGATGGTGAAACTAATATATTTATATGGCCAAATATTACAATCGAGGACTCAGGATTATTTCGTTGTGAAGTTAGCAATTCGATAGCTACAAGTGAAAGGCTGTTTAATGTCACCGTTAATGAACGTAAGTGTTTATTTGTCTTATCAATCATCTGATTGAATCTTTTTTTTTCTATTAATAATATTCTCTAATTAATTGATTATTTCTATTTCAGCTATGCCTCCTCAAATAGGAACTTGTTGGTCTTATAATATCTCAGCTCTCATCGGAACTCAAGTATCGTTTCATTGTAGCTCATATATTGAAGATGAAAAATTTTGGATCAAAGGATTTATCAATGAGTCAAGTGAATATTTTAACGATACTGATATAATTGTAAGTTAGCTACTTATGAATTTCGTTGACTTTTTTTTATGCGAAACATTTAACGGTTAACTGTTTTTTCTTGACATAAGATTTATTGATGAGGCTTCGCAAGAATGAGACTTAACGTTGAAAGATGATGAGTTCTTAAGATGCTTATTCTCATCTTTAATAATGTTTTCTTTCATTTTATCTTCTCTCTCTCTCTCTCTCTCTCTCTCTCTCTCTCTCTCTCTCTCTCTCTACTTCATCTTCTTAGGAAAAAGGAACAAGCGACTTGGTTTTGAAGAATGTGACACAAGATGTACAAGGATGGTATTCATATGTCTCTCGAAATCGTTTTGGCTTCCGTTCAGCTAATATATTTCTTAGAGTCCATCATCAAGGTTTGTGTCCATCTTCTAACATTTGCATGTCTTTGTTTTCTTTCTTTCAATCATCACCCTACCAGACCTCATATTCATCACCCTTGACCCTCTCTCTCCTTAAAGATACCTTCTAAAGGTCTCCTGCTGATATTTTTCGTAGCTCCTAATGAATGAAGTAAAGAAAGAGTAGCATAATGATGATGATGATAATGATGAAGATAAGATTGTAGGAGGATAAAAGATGGCTCATATAGGAAAAAGTCACTTTTTGTAAACGATTGAGAAGCCAAACTGACAAGAGAACAAAATAATTCAGACTTTTATTGACAATTATTCCAATAGTTTCCTTTTCCTGATTTTCTTAAACTCAGAATTCATCTTCCGTCTATAAATTTCAATATAATTTCTAATTTTATTTCACTGAATCTCAGATATGGAGCTCATTTTTTTTTCTCTAGCAAGTGTAAAAATGGATAAAAAAACAGCCTCAAAATGAGGATAATGAAGACAAGGTTACATCCTTGAAGATGAAGATGCTGTGAAAAAGAGAGATAGGACAGTGCTAAGGGAGGTGGTGGGAGGAGACGTGCAAGTAGATGCTGTTTTCTGAGAGAGAGAGAGAAATATAAAATAGAGCAAGGGCAAGTTCTTGAAACAAAAAAAAACAGAAGAAAAAGGAAATACAGAAACGGCCACTGTTACTGATGAACTTGATTCCTTTTAGTTTGTCGGCTTTAATGATGATCATCTTTCGCCATTTTCATCTTTTATCCTTCTTGCATCCTCATCCTTTTAAATGATTTTCGCTTGTCTTTTTCCTCTTTGCTCTCTTTTCATCTTTTGATGAGTTTTTACAAAATTTGTTTGTCAGTGGACATCACAGTTTTGGACGTTTATATAAAGACATTGGTCTTTGTGGTAAACCTTCAAATCTCGTAAATGTTTACCCAGGCGAATCTATCGACACTATTGATGATTTTGATGACCCAAAATGACCTCGCGTCAAGTGGTTTTGGAAAATCTAATCGATTTTTTTATTGCTAAATAATTAAAGACAAAATTTCTTCTTTTTTTCTATCATCTCTATTTCTCTTTCAGAACATAAATTAGCTGCAAACAGTTTAACTCGTGAGCAAGTTATTTTCATTGGATCTCTAATTATTGGCAGTGCGACAACAATAGTACTTTGCCTGATATGTTGTCTCTGTAAAATTCGAGCCTCGCGATTAAAAATAAAGAAAGAAAATCAAATTCTAAGGATAACAAAAAAGATCACATTAGAAGAGCCTGTTGACTGTGAAGATTCATTGAAAGCGCCTTTGGTCAAAATTGAGGCTCCATTGAATGCTAACGATTTACCTGTGGAGAAATATATGAGAGCCATTGTTGAATATGAAATGCCGATTGATCTTAAATGGGAAATATCAAGAGATAGGTTTGTATTGATTGTTTATTTTGATATCTATTTAGTGGTTAATAGTCAACTCGAAATGTCCAAATCTCAATGGATCAACATGTTATTTTTTTTTCTTCTGCCAAGATTATTGTTGAATTAGTATTTGTGAAATAGTTTAACATGTGTATTTTGTTATCCTTAAGATTAACTCAAGGATTAAGAGGAAAACAACAAATCTACTGACGGATTGAGTTCTAACTTAAGACAATAAGTTCATTTATCTTTTAAAACTGTTATTGTTCAGTTGCAAAGGCAAAATAATCACAAGCTTCACAATTGAAATATGATATCGTCAACTTGGCTTTTTAAACTTTAAACAACAACAATAACAGTTAAAAGTACAAGAAAATGTATTAAAAAACAGTAGAGAGATGATTGTTGTTTTTCATTTCATTTACTGTTAACAATTTAATACTAAACATTGAATAGTTTTATTAATAATAACGGTGTGAGGTCAGAATGAAATGATTTGCTTGTTTGTATTTCTCACTACGCTTTCGCCTTTCATTTGATTGATGCTCCTAATTGATTCATCCCATGAGTATATTTATATTAATATTAATCATTTGACTTATATACAGATTACAATTACATAAGCCTGTTGGACAAGGAAACTTTGGAACTGTTTATAAAGGAGAGCTATGTGGAGTTGGAAAAAATAAAGAACCTCTTATGACGGTGGCTGTTAAAATGTTGAAAGATCCATCGAATGATTCTGACATGGCTGATCTTGTCTCGGAAATGGAGGTCATGAAACGAATCGGCAAACATTTAAACATAATTAATCTAATCGGATGTTGTACTAAAAATGGTGAATACAAATTATTTCGGATGATAGAAATGAAGATTGTTTGTTGAAAGAAAATTAAATCAGTGAATATAAATGTGTGTATATTGGGATGAATGATGATTATGATGATGATGATGAGAAAAGTGAGACTAGAATAACATTTGAAAGTGTGTAACATAAATATACTAAGATGAATTTTCATTATCTCTTTTCTTTTTGCTTGTTTAATTGTTTTCTGGGTTAAAAATGGAAATTAATCAGTTTTTCTTTTTTGTTTATTTAGGTCCTCTTTATGTGATCGTCGAATATGCTACTTTTGGTAACTTGCGAGATTTCTTACGATCCCGTAGACCGGATTCGGTTGAATTTGACGATTCTAAGCAATTATTTCCATCGGATTTCTTATTATTTGCACTTCAGGTTTGTTTTTGATAAATTGAATGTTTATAAATGTTTGTAAATGTTTATCTTGATTTAGTTTTATTCATTAATCTCTTTGATTTATATATTTTCAGATTGCTCAAGGAATGGATTACTTAGCTTCTAAACGGTGTGTTCATCGTGACCTTGCCGCTCGTAATATTTTAGTCTCCGATGGTAATGTTATGAAAATCGCTGATTTTGGTCTTGCTCGAAATCTTCAAACAGTCGATTATTACAGGAAAACTACTAAAGGTGTTATACCTTTAAGGTGGATGGCACCGGAAGCGATTGATCAAGTTTATTCCAGTGCTTCCGATGTTTGGTCTTATGGTGTTTTACTCTGGGAAATTTATACTCTTGGCTGTTTACCTTATCAAGATGTCGATCAGAGTAGCCTTTATACCTGGTTGAGGGAAGGCCATCGATTGGATCAACCGTTCAAATGTCCAAACAAAGTTTATAAACTAATGAGACGATGTTGGAGATACTATTCATGGGAACGGCCAACTTTCCGTGATATCACCAAAGAGCTTGATGAAATCTCCAATGAATCATCTTACCCTGAATACTATGACATGAGTATTCCTAAAATGGATACACCATTGACAAGTGACTACGAGATTGATTATTCTGATAGTTTTGATGCTGAAGGTAAAAATCAATTAATCATAATGTTAATAAAACTTTTATTCGCATTTCTATTTGCTTTTCAATTTCTAATATTTTTCTTATTTATTTTCATTACAGAATCGAGTCTCCATGATTATCAAAATGTCAACAATAACATTAACACACAATTAAATCGCCTTTATTTCATTAACGAATCCATTGTTTAACATCATCATCATCAATGAAATTACATTTTAACAATGGACGATCAAATTATCATAACTTTTTTTTCACAACACCAAAGACTTTGTGAACTCACTTTGAAGTCACATAACAAAAAATCACCAACATTTTTTCAAACAATCAAAAAAACCCAAAAACTTAAACAAAATTGATTTACTTTCTTCTTGAAAAAAAATCAATCCAAATCAAACCAAGAGTTAACAAAAACAAATCAAATCATCATTATACATATTTTTTGTACATAAAATCATTCAACTTTTTTTTGCCTAATTTATATTATGATTATTAAATTAAAATAAAAAAATAAAATAAAAAGTATCCCGACTGATTATTTATTCAATCAACAAGAAAAATCTATCAGAAAACGGTCAAGATTAGGAACGAAATTGAAATCTAAAATTGAGACAAAAAAAAAGGTCAACATTTAAGAAAAAGGCAACATCAAAATCAATCACCAATAGAAAATAAAATGTTGGAAAAGTTAATTGCTCGCAATTAACTTTTAACTTCTAATTGCATCGATAGATGGAGTTAGTGGAAAGCGAAAAAAAGTGCGCGAGTTTAGTTTGGATTGAAAAAGAAAGAGAAAAAAGCGAATTAAATTCTCTTTCTTTCGCAGCGCCATCTGTTTGTTCGTCGGTGGAACTATTAGACTCTCGGTTTTTTCTCTTTTCTGTTCTTGTCGTTTAATCTTTAAAGGGACTCGTATATTTATTAATCTAAAACTATCACCGGATTTAAAGAATTAATCTAATTGTTTCTTTAGTGATCTCCAAATTTCCACCAAACCAGTTAATTGCAACATAATCTAATTCACCTTTAGAAGAAAAAAAAATCCTTTACCTTTTGTGTTTCTCTCTTACAATTGTTTAATTTTCTCCTTTCAACTCTATAAAAAATCCATTGATTTTCACCTTTTTCTTTGATTTTTTTTGTTCTTTTTTTTGTGTTTTTGTTTATTTCTCGTATTAACGAGATCTACTCCTTTTCTTTTCAACCCGTAATTAGAGAAAATTAATCACGTAAAATAAGTGAAATTTTATTCTCAAAAGAATTAAATTAAATTGAAAAGGAGGTGTAACTCCGTTATGAGACCATGTATACTACTTTACCACCCAAAGGTAATGTTAATAACAATACGAAGGAGATATTGGCCAAAACGCGTAAAGAAATTTCCGAGGAATTAACTGGAATCGTACAAGTGAGAAAAGACTGTGTAGTTTACACCTATTATGAAGATGTTTCCAAAGCATTACAAGACCATTTCGACCGTTCATTAATCTCTGTTGAAATTAAAACAAAGACAAAAGGTAAGAAATGAAACAATAACATTTGTCACAAATTCTATTCTCCCCTTGTGATGTAAATAATCCTAAGGCCTTCTATAAACAACCCCACCCTCTCTCTCCCCAAAAGATTGACCCTCAATAGTTGACAAAAAATCACTATTGTCATGTTGATCAAGTCAAATTAAAACTCTTGCAGGTGATATGATTAATATTATGATTAGTGATTTCACCATTTACCATTATTATAGTTGTAATATTGCTATTTATGTGTCTCTCTGTGTATAGAAATCAAATATTGCTCTAGCTTGACTGAATATCATTTATTCATGGTTATTTATTAAGATCAATCAACTGACAGTTAATCGATTTCATGGATTAAGGCTTTAATGCACAAAGAAGAGATGATGAAGAAAAATAGTGGAAGAGAATTGAAATGATTAGAGAAGTAATTTCTTTCTTTTTTTTCTTCTTCTTCTCTTTCAATCAGTTTTAAATACTTTGTCTTGAACTGGATTAATTTTAATTCCTCCCTATCAATAAAGTCCTACACAATTGATTGTTACTATTTAAAATTGGATACAATGTCCAAGTACTTTTGTGTTTATTTAACCAAAAGTCATTTAACCACAACAGTAATATGATTGATTTAATTTCTACTCATTGTCTAAATAGTGTCAATGGAAAAGGATTTAGATTTTTATATTTTCAAATTAATCCTCATCTAATCTGTTAGATAATCGCTGTTATTATGATCATTTTCATCTCTCTCGCTTTAATTTAAATTAATGTTGTTTTTTTACTTATTACAATTTTCCCCTTTGATTGTTACGATTAGTTAAATGATTACACTTGACTTTATGTTGTTGAACTGTAAATTGGCAAATATACCGTTTAAATCAGCAATTTATTGATTCTCATTGACAATTTAAATGTTGTCATGTTGAAAACTAACATCAACAATTAACAACATGGTTCATTTATTATTATATTAACATTGTAATTGTCGCTGTTAATTATCTATATTATTTTTCTTATCACGAGCATTTAAATTATATATATTTCCTTGGAAAAGTATCTTGATTTAGTTGAAAATGATTAAATCTCTTCTTCCTTTGCAATTAATTACAATCATCTAAGCTTTTTAAACATTAATTGTTACAAACGTAAAGCTATATTTATAAACTATATTACTGAGCTGTATTAACGGTTAATCTTAATTGTTTGCTTTCTCGTTTTGTAACAATTTAAGATTTAGGGAAATGTGTATTTCCTTTACTTGTTAAGTTGTTGTGACATTTACTTCACATACATTTAAATGATACGCATGTACATCAATAGGAAAAAAAAGATGAGAATCACTGAGAAGATGATGATGAGAATGATAAGGGATGAGGATAAAGATGATGAGAAGGATGAAGAAGATTTTTGGATGGATGAAATGATAAAGTCTATCTTATCCTCCTTTCCTTGGGTGGCCAAGTGATGATATGTTGACACCTTAGTAAACAATATTGTCAATCTATTTCACTCTCTCTCTCAATCTCTCTCCCTCTCCATCCCATGTTACCACCCATTGTTATGTATAAGATGATTTTCCTCATCCAATTTGTTATCTATCTCATTTTTAATTCCTTCCCTCCCACTCATCTTCATCTCTCTCTCCTATCATTTACCTTTAGATGTAATTTTATCCCGATTATTGGATCATCTCATGAATTATCTTCGTATTTATATAGATAAATCTATATCATTCTGTATACACAGAATAATTTGTAGAAATGAGTTCGTGAATCTCATGCTCTTGCATTCATCTCACTCTTCCTATTCTCATCATCATCATTTCTCTATCTTAAAAAGACAAGAGATGATAATGTACAAGGAGGAGAAAAGGGAGGTTCTACTCGATTTCGAGGATCTGAAAGAAACTCTTTATTCGTGGTCACTCGAAGCAAACGAAAACAATTAACCTGTGGAAAGAGAATGACTTTAATGTTCTCTTCCTTTTATCTCTCTCACTCTCTCATCATCATCATCTTCATCTTCATCACTCTCTGAACATGTTAGACTGCTGGTCTCTGGATTTTCTTTAAAGGTCACTTTAAAATGATTTGACCTTTTTCTCAATATTGTTACTAAAAACAAAATTTTACAAAGGAAACAAGTGAAAAAAAGATGATGATGAGGATGAAGAGGATGATACACTTAAAGAGATGATACTTACACTAATGATAATGATCATCATGAAGATGATACTGTTAATATTGTACATTTGATACTTCCTTGCACAAAAAATTAACGAGTTTTTAAATTACTTTAATTATTGAAAACTTAAAAACAAAGGTCATTATCCTAATATAAATCATCATATTGTGAGTGGTATATCCTTATTGCGACAATTGTAATTCTGATTGAGAAAATTTTTCTCAATTAAAATTTTGTTTTGTACATTTTAATTCAACACGATTCACAAGTTGATTAGTGTTTAGATTGATCATTACTCAACAATCAAAACATAATCATTTTCATCATACCAATTGTTTATCATCTCAACCTTATAATGATTCATAATTTACTTCCGTTTTTCAAATGTCTCTTCCTGTTCATCACCATCATCATCACCTTGAAAAGTATCTTTTTGTATCTTCTTCACAATCTCTCATCATCTTTTCAGTTTGATTCTCAGAGGATGAAGAGAGAGAGAGGAAGATATTTCCATGGAAATAGAAAGTAACAGAATTACCGAAACAGTATTTTTTGTTGTTGTTGTGAATGGTTAATAATAGTGAGAGAGTGAAAAGATACCCAGAAGAATTTAAAATATTTGGGTAAAAATGGCCGAAAAGAATATCAGAGAGAGAGAGAGAGAGAGAGAGAGAGAGAGAGAGAGAGAGAGAGAGAGAGATAATGATTATCTGTTTCTTGGTGGATGAAAATGATGATGATAGTGAATTGCAATCAAATGATGAAGATGACAAACTCAGTCAAGAAAACACTAGAGAAAAGAAAACATTAAAATGATGACAATATTTTTCTATCCCCAAGAGAAAAATTAAACTTTTTTCTTTGTCTCAACCAATTGTGATGATTGTAAACATCGAAACAAGGAAACGGAAATGATGAGTTACTTTTTCACATTTCACAAAAGAAAAGTGATCAATTTATGTCTACAAGTGATTTGTAAACACAGTTTGAAATAATTAATCGCTTAATTAATTACTTTTAAATGTCTTTGAACTTTAAATTAAGTTGACACAATTGGATCAAATGAGAGAGAGAGAGAGAGAGAGAGAGACAGTTAATTGTGATAATGATTAAGATAAAATTTTTGTAAAGGGATTTGATCGTCATGTGTGAGTCTTATTTTTTTCATACATTGGATAAACTTTGATGTGATCATCTTTTAATTATGATGATGATAATTATTATTATACTTTGTGAACTAGAGGATTTAGGTTTGGTCATTCAAGGTAAATTCTGATGATAATGATTATATATGCTTACGATTTGAAAAATAGTCTCTACTATCAGAGTGATGATGGATCCATATCTTAAATCAGATAATGACAAGATTTATGTGTCCATCAATTGAAACTAATACTGTCCAAGTAATAAAATTAAATGTAAACTTGTTTCATCTCAACATGAGATTGACTCAATATCATCCACAAGATGATGATGATAATACCTTTTTACTGACTTTCTCTCTCGCTCTCACTCATTATCATCATCATGAAAAAAGATTAGTGAAAGTGTAATCAACGAATAAGCTTGAATAATATAAACATGATGATAATGATAATTGTTAATTCTTTGGTAATAAATCGTTGAATAAACTTTTCCCAATCAACCGATAACGAGGAAAAAGTCATTTGAAAAAAAGGAAATTTTTTCATCTTCTACCTATCAGATTATTGATACAAGATGATTAAGATCATCTTGATTCTGATGATTGTTGTTGTTTGGATACAAATTGATTTGATTCAATTTTTTTTTGTTATTCATCATGTTGCCCTAGAAAATAATAGATTTGAATGGTGTGTATGTGTGTAATGTGATGAATGATTGTAAATAGGGATGAAAGTTAATTTTGTGCAATTAATTGTAATTGTTGAAAGGGCAAGTGATATGCAGTTTAACTTTCACCGTTATATCGCCTCATCTCCATAGAAAAGGAGATGAGGAGGGAAAGATGAAGAATCGAGGAGGAAGATGAAGAAAGTTGTATAATATCATATGTGTGTATTATTTATATAACGTTGATTACGCGGCTACTTGAGCAGATATAAAAAAGAGAGAGAGAGAGAGAAAAGATGATGATGCTGATGAAGAATAAGAAGATAAAAAATAGATGATGAAAATAATATTGTTGTTTTCCTATATACAATAATTTTCCATTGCAAAATGATCCTCATCTCTTCCTTTGGCATCCTTCATCTTCTTCATCATCATCATTTTCCCCCCTCACGCCTTACCCAATAAAAAAGATCTTTTCCTTTTGTTCATCACTTTTCATCTTCTTTTATCTTCTCATTCCTTTTCATCATCACTTTCTTTTATATCCATTACAATCATTTTCATCATCACATCAACATTCATCTTTGTTTTCCACCCTACATCTTCCACCTTCCACTTTTCCTCTTCATCCTCATCCTCCTCCTCCTTCAGCTTATGATTATAACGGTGATCATTTATTTTTTCCTCGATTCTTGACTTTTTTTTTCTTACTCTTCCTTTGATTGTTATCACCATTGTAACTGTGATAAAAGTGAATATACCGATAAATTGTATAATCACAGTGTTAGAATAATATTATTTAATTGTTTCCATGGATAATCAATTTGTTATAAATCAATATCACGCACCTCAAACACTGATTGAATATGATGATCATTACATTTGATTAATTATTGTTGGTCGTTTGATTATTGTATCAATGTAATAACCTTTTTTTAATCATTTGATGTTCTCGTTTTTTTATTCTGTTGATAATAATTATGATTTATCATCCGTATTAATTTAAC